CTATCCTGTGATGCATACAGTTCTGAGGAATCTCCAGTTCTCTAAACTCTGAAGCAGCAGGAAAAAGGACTTATCCACATATTTGAATACAGCAAGAAGCAGACATGAAATTGCTCGAGTCATAGGAACTCTAAAGCAGCACCATCTCCAGTTAAAAAAGCATGCAAGCAGAAAAGCAGGACAAAAGCATATTTATGCAGTATGTTCTTAGCTACATCAAGATCCTCCTTTTGATACAGTACAGCCAATAACAGTATATACTATGACAGAGGAACACCAGCCTTCTGTGAAGAGTGACAAACAAACAATTTGAAAGAGATTGGCAGAATCAGTCATTTAGATTCAAAAAAGACCTTCAAGATCATAGAAGTCCACCACTAAATCCCTTATCACAGAAACTATCTAAAAAATTATTTTTTTTTCAGCTTCCATCTTTGAAATTTATTTAAAAATAAGTCCATTAACAGCATTTTTAACACTTTTTAAAAAATATATTTTGGAAAAGCTAGATTAAAGAAGTGAGATAAATTTCACTCAAGAATTTGTTCTCATTTGAATGGCTTATGGCAGTTAGTTTTGGGTGGTCAGACAGCTGTCAAGACAGTTCTCATCTTCAGCACTGTGGTAATAGTTTGACATTTCCAAAGGACTATCACTGTCAGAGGACATCACCACAATGCAGCACAAGGTGATCTTCTAGACAGCTGGAGTTATATCAAGAGTTTTCAAAAGTAGAGGCAAGCTTTGAAACTTTACTCTCATTTCAGTGGCCAATAGATCATTAGTGTAATGCACTCTTTGTGTTGTTGTACTAGGTGGTGTTGAACTGAATTTAAGACTTACTTTTAAGTAGGCTGCAACATCATACGGCCCGATAAGATAATGCAGGTAATATCATGTTCTAATCACTACAGACAGGATGAGAGTAGGAAGAGTACTTAGCATACACAAGTGAATATTAAAATCTAGTGATATCATCTTAGTTTAAGCTGAGGCATCTGTTAGAAGAACAGAAAATATATTGGATGTACAAGGCAGAGATGAGTCTGGGCTTTGCACTGACAAAAACAACCAACAGAAGCAAACCTATCGAAAAGCGGCCAGACATCTTTATTTTACTCCTTAGTTTCCATGGAATTAAATTCCATGAATATTATTTCCATGTCTGAAAAGCAAAACACGAGACTAAGCAACAGATTACCCACAAGCTCATGAAAGAAAGCAGTTAACACCAACCTTTGAAATTTTTATCTGAAGAGTAATATCAGAACAGTTACGTTAAATAGAACACACAACACTTAAAAATAGCAACTACTATCTAGAGCAAACAACATCTACAGCAAATTGCAGGGAATTCCAAATCAGCAGAGGCTCCATTACTTCTGAAATGAGCTCTCTTGCTAAGTTGGCCACAGGAATACAAGATTACAGTCTCGTCTCGAAGAGAAGGTTGCTTCTCAGCTAGGTGTATTGCACATCACACTGAACTTCAGCCTCTGAGTTAGTACATTCATCCAGTCTTTTACCTTGATGCACAGACATAGTTTGAGTTGACACATGCTTCTGCATCTCCAGACTGCACTGTCAACAAGCGTAAAGATGGCATGAGAATAGATGTTTAACAGAAACATCAATTCAACAGCTTTCAAAGGCACACACATCTCTAGGGTCCCAGAAACAAATGGACTCCTGAAAGACCATGCTTAACAAAATTAAGACAGGAAAACTTCTATACATAAGAGATCTTAATTAAACTGTAAAGTCACACAGCTAACCTCTTTACAGAAACTCCCCACCACAGTTGCCAAATGCTATTAAAGTCCTATATGGGTTTACTAAAAGATTGTATTTCAGATAGAAGGCTTTATCCTAAAGGACAAGTAAGGAATAAGAGAAAGATTTAGGTGCAGAAGTCATAAAGCTTAAAATATATAAGTGAAAAAATAATATGAATCTTTGACTCTGGGATGTAGTTTAGGTTTTATATCATCCAGTAATATAATATTTATTATTTATGCTTTTTATTTTATTATTTTATGTTTTTATTTATTATTTATATTATGAAATGTGTTTATTATATTCATATTTATGAATCTTTGAAGGTTGGTGGCCCTGCCTGTAGCAGGGGGGTTGGAACTTGATGATCCTCAGGGCCCGTTCCAACCCAAGCCATTCTATGATTTATTAGTCTAAGGATTTTTAGAAACAGAACACCTGAAGAGATACCAGCCGATATATTTTCAGAAGCTGGAATGTTGTTAGACATTATTATTAACTATCTACAATAGCTGTTTCTTCTGAGAGGAACTTCAGAAACTAACTCATTCTTTATACATTTCGTTCAGAAAAAGAATTTTTGTCAAGGTTTCAAGTTCTTTGATATGTGTCAGAAAATATTTACAAACACCAGCAATGTCAAATTCCTTCAAAAAGAATAAAATAGTTGGTATATCACTTGGTATATCCCTTGCACTGATTTTAAGGCCTCAGGATCAAGATGTAATGCAAGTCAGGTGACCAAGAGGAGTTAAAAAGTTTCTCATTTATTTTGCTCTTCCTTCACCTAACTTGTTTTAAATGGCAACAAATGGGGTTTGGGGGGTAGAGGGCTGTTATTTCATGCGAACTACAAGACTTCCTTCCTAAAAACATGTGAATGTCATTATTTATTATGTTTTTAAAGCAATATAGGTTTGTATAGCTATTATGTTACACAATATTATTGAATTCTGTTTCTTCAGACTTTTAAAACTAAGTTCAGTTGACCAGATAATTATTACGTAGTAAATATGTTTGTTCTCATAACTTCCTAGCAGTGGCTACATCTGAAACAAGGATAGAAAGTTGTTTCTTTGAACTGCTTTTGTCTTTGAGGAGCATCATGTTAAATCTAGTGTTGTTTTTTCTCATAGGTTGAATAAGTACATAAAGGTATGTATCTATATATATATAAATTAGGTATTAAATAAAAAGTCTCTATATGTATTCAGTTGCTCAGTCCATATGTGAAAATTATTAAAAAATTAAAAAATAAATTTCAAAACTACATGTTGTTAGCCATACAGTCAACATTTCTCTGAAATTTGAATTTGCTCTACCATATCACAATTCCCTTAGCAACTAGTCACATTCCACTGGTTTAAAATTTGCATTATGAAAGATGAAGAAGCATGGGAAGATAACTGATCTTGTGTCTTCTCTCTGATGATAAATAAATTAAGGGCAAACCCCCAAAACACAAAGGTGAGTTCAGAAGGAAGTGACCCAATAAGAGGAATTAAATTTGTCAGAACAAAAGAACACCTACAGGAAGCTGGTCACCCTGGACATACTTTGTTCTCAATAGTGAGAAATCAACACATCAAATACATAACAGACATCCAAGGGTAGAAGAGGTGAAACTCAACTTTCATTCTGCTGTAATTAGTAACAGTCACAAAATAGATGCAATAGTTCAAGTATCAGCCTTCCTGAAGTTTAAAGGAAGAGTCAGCAGAATCATTATATAATAATTTTGTAGACACACTATGGCACTTCTGTCTGATAAAAATATTTGCCTGTAATATTTCATCAAATGCAAAGTTACTGTGTAGAAACTATAAGAGGTTGACAGATGCCAAGAGCTGTGAGGTTGTTGAATAGAATAGTATTTCTGGAGCCGTGCCCAGAGTGGAGGCAAAATTTGACTCATCCTCACGCATACATTTGCAGTATATCTCTAAACTAAATAAGGATTTAACTCCATCACGAGGGTCTAATAATATCATGTCAGAGCTAGGAATTGATGATAATATCAACAGAGGCTAAGGGACTCCAGACAAATGGGCGATCTTGCTATAGCTATATTCACTGAGACACCTGTGACCTCGAGTCGTGCTGTCCCAGGCTGTACATAGATGTTAGCAACTAATTATAATTTGATCACCGTTTTGTTTATTTTTACTACTTCAGAGGATATTATCAAATGTCTCCCCACTGTGGTATTTAGGAACTGCAGAACAGGCATTAACTAAATCAGGACTGATTAATTCATATCTATTTTTGCTTTCATGTTTTTCAGCTAGCAATCTTCCAACAAAAACAGTGAAAACAATTTAAGAGCGAGAAGCAAGGGAAATATAGAAATTGCATGACATATACATGACAATTCCGTTCTGCTTGCATTTTAATACATACTTATTGGATCTTCACCTGTCTTGCACATTCAAACTGTAAGCTTCTTCAGATCTATCCTGTCACTTATTGTACGCTCACGTATTTTTTAGCACAATGTGAGTCCCAGTCTCAACTAAGATTTTAGGCATCATTATGATAAAAGCAATAATAAGAAATATCTTCATGCAGATAAGTAACTAATATATCACTGCTTGGATTGGTTATGATTTGGTCTGCATGATGAAAAGATCAGTAAATAATCTGGAAATTGAAGTTGTTGGTGTTTTGTTTTTTTTTTAGATAACTGGAGTACCACTTTCTCAAAGTATCACAGAATCTGGCAGAATTGCTCCAAGCAAGCCCACAAGCTCTAGAGACTGTTTCTTGCATATATGTAACTTGATGCCAATTCTGCTCCTCTAATCAACCAGGTTTTAAAAACGCTTTTACTTTTACTGAGAAAATATGTTCTGTAATTTTTCAATTACCCTGGTTAACTGCTTCTCTGGAATTTTAAGAAGTATCGATGAACAACAACACAATGAGAAATTTACCAACATGTGCTCTTCACAATATGATATTGCACCAGCTTTAGTTACAAGGCTTAAATTAGCCAGCTGAATTACAATATGGTGGCATATAGCAACAGATAGCAATGAGAAAAAGGCTCAGTAAGAGAAGGAAGTTTATAGCTTCCAACATTAAAACAGCATTAGAGTAACAATAGATATTGTGGCTATTGTGGCAGAACACTGCCTTTTATTATCACTACATAGGAAAACAACAGTTCAAAAGGTTCTTTTTTTTGGACAGTAAATAACCCAAAATGCAACATTTGCTCTTACCACTGAGAAGCCAATGAGGTAAATATATCAGTGGTTTCAGGCTCTTGGAATAGTTTCAACAGTTCTGGTTCAGCTGATAAGTCAGCAAGGATCCTTAATTCAATTTGTGAAAAATCTAGAAAAAGTGTCAGAATAAATCAATTGCTCTAAAATAAAATTATTCAAAGTATAAATGTATATATATGCTATATTATATATTATATACTATGTATAAAATAAAAATTAACTACTACAAAACAAATTTTTTTTTTTTTTGCTCAAAAACAAGAAAAAGCACTAAAAAGCAGGAAAACAAACAGCTGTAGAAAGTGCATCCTTAAAAAGTCCAGCTACAGATTACAAAATACCTGGCTCCATTATTACCTTCAGGTGTCAAATCATTTAATTAGCTCTTTGTTGCTATGTACAAGCATTACAAATAACCCACTTCAAAACCACACTAAGGAGCATACATCATATAACAACGTTAATTGATGCTGAGGGATTTTATAGCCTTTTAAAATAAAATGCCATGCAAAGAAGATGAGAAGAAAAGATCACAGAATGGAGAATATTAATGAGAATATTAATATGTATGAGAATAATAATACATGTTATCTTACCTGCTGCTAAAAACGTATATCCTTTCTTTGAAACAAATAGTGCTCGTGGGGAAATGGTTACTATTTCCTCCTCTTTTCCTAGAGAGGAAGTTGACAAATGTGGATTCCAATCCAAAAATAGCATTGCAAACCACAGCAGGTTGTAAATGCCTCACCCAACACAATTAAAAATACACAAATGACAATGTAAATATCCTACCAACTTCCAGCAACACAATGATTTTACTCATCATTCACGTACAGCATCTTTATCTCCACTATCCTTGCATTACCACTCATTCCTCCTTCTTCCCTTTCTCCCCCCCAAACCCTTCCCAAAACTGCAGCTAACAAGCAATTGCAATAAATAACATAATTCAGAGGTCACTTAATAAAAGAGACATGCAAGTAAGAAAGGTTCTATAGAGCTGATCTACATATAAAAAGTGTTTTTTGGTTTTTTTTTTTATATGCTGCTTCAATGTGTTAGGAAACAAATTCTGAGTTACAGGAGGTAAAGGAGTACAATATTAAGAACACACAGCTGATACAGGCATCCAAGTGCTAATGAATTAAGCTCTCTACAATATAAAAAGCAATAATATACATTGACACTGTATTAAAACAGTATATTCTCAGAAACTACTTGTTTGTCTTGGTGTAAAAAACAATTATTTCAAACAACCATAATTCATCTGATCAGAGATTATTGACAACTGATAGTATGAAAGTGAGGGAAATAAATGCCTCAATATAGGAATGAAAGACAAATGTTTTCTGAGAAGCACATAAGATCACTAACAAACTTAATTGAATTATTTCCAAAACAGCCTATGTGCCACTGTTAAGCACTATGCCACAGATTTACACAGCTACTGTTCACTCTTTTAAAAAACACTTAAAAACCCAGCAACATAAAAATCAGTCAGGGAGATAAAATAGAAGTACTATTGAATTTTTACACTGTTTTTAAAGTCTCCTGTCTTATGATTTGTATTATATCAGTTGGAGGGACAGACTAGCTGTGAAAAGGAAAGCCTGCTCTTACCTATGCAACAAACAACAATTCCCAGCTATAAGTGCTCAGAAAGCTTATTTGGCAAATCTCTCCTATTAGAGTCTACTTACATGACTTTTTGACTTCATCATTTAGGTCATGCTTTCCTACGCTCTGGGTCATCTCCCTTAAATCCAATTCCATTACCAAAACCAACAGATCTGAATAACTACTGGCGATTAGTTGTGAGCTTGATTAAAATACCCAAGCTTTAGCATCTCCTTGGGAAAAGCCTTATGAACCGAATTCACACAAATACCCCTAGAATGTTTAAAAGATGTATAATTTGCAACTGGAACAGAAGGAATAGTGAGACTGTACAGGGAAAGAAAATTCTAAATGCTTAAGACTATTCATATCGGTACTGAAACAGCAAACTTTTCTCAAGCAGAATGAGCAAAAAGCAATTTTGTTCAATGTTAAGGTACAATTGTCCATCAATAATCCATTCTGCTCTTTTGTGTTGGAGCTTTTGGTCTGCCTCAAAATAAAATAACTCAGTAAGATAAGGAGATGAAATTCACTTTTCATGTTTATATTAACATAGTTTACCTTTTATGTACTGTTTCTTTTTAATTCTCACTGGATGTTTAGAGATACCTTGAATGTTCTACAAATAAGAACAAAAACTGCTTAGTACGTGAAAGTTTATAGCAATATTTACGAACAGTTTATAGGAAGCATGGAAACATTGGTGATACTAATGCCAACAAGTTTTTCGTCATAAGATTTAACTTTTTGTCTTTTGAAGGAATCTTCCCCGTTCTGTACCAAGCTCTTTTGAATATTTGACCTTCCTTGACAATAGGAATTGCATCAGATCAATTTCTCACCTGCAAATTTTACAGATGCTGGTTTCTGGGCACACAATCGCACAGAATCAGTAGCGCTTTTTTTTTTTCTCTTTCTAATTTTACCCTGCATTTTTCTATATGGAGCATTACTTTCAAGAAGAAAACACATACAAACTCTGCCTTAACCTAAGCAAAGGTACTCTCCTCCAGCCCCTAAACATTTCCCTAACTTCTATTCTCACTGTTTTGAAAAACATAAAATAGGTTTGTTTGTTAAATACCCCATATGAGTCGAAGTTAAAAATGAGCAGTAAGTTTATCAACAAGCACAACTCAGGACAGAAGATCACTAGACCTTTGTTTAAAGATTCATGCTCACACATCTACAGTAAAATACGAAATATGTCACATGGCAGCTTCCTCCTGTTGTGTCATTATGCTTCCTTGTCTAGAAAGGTAATATACAACAAGAGAAAAATGTGTATGAATCTCAATTTTCCTAATTCCAAGCAATTCATTTGCAAGTGGTTCAGGAATTAGATGAAAATATTACATAATAATGTAAATTCAGACAAAGGGATCAGTACTATATAATTTCCTAATAAGCAAACTACATTTGCTATATAATTTTAGCTCAAAGTCATTATACATCCCTAAGAGGGAAGTAATCAAACTGCAAAAGCTATTAAAATTTGAAGTGGAAGTAAAAGAACAAAGCCCCAGATTGGAACATGATCATTTCTAGTCTATCACCCTTAAAGAACCACAGACAACATATTGAAGTTGAACCTCCACCATCGCACCACACACAGAGAGAAAACTACTACATAATTCACATAATACTTTCACAGTGAAGGTCAGGTAGGAGCACAGCTCTAAACCCATCAACAAGAAGAAACACTTGCCTTAATAGTCTTTAATATTCTTCAGTTTCAGTTGTGTTAATGCTTGCAATGCTATATGGTTACATTTTGAAAGGAAGAGTTACTTGCTCAGGACATAACACCAACATTGGTATTAATGATTACTAATTTCCAACAACAACAACAACAACAACAACAAAAAAAAAACATGAGGAGGATCAGTGCGTGCTTGTATGAAAAACATAAAAAATAAGTGGCCATGGAAGCAAGTGATCCTCGGGAATTTAGAAAATTAGAGTCTTCCCTTTATGCAGCCAGACTTGAATGTGGGAACCTAATTTTTCCACATTTAAAAACAACTAAAAACACTGAAGGTATAAAAATTTAATTTTGACTTCGATCATTCTAATGCACATTACGCAGCACGTTATGCAGTTTTCATCAGGGTTTATACTGGCAATAACATTTGCTTAATATAACTTCCAGCACAGAGCTGTTTATGGTTACAATCACTGATTATTTTCTTTAGCTCATCAGATTCAAAATTCCTAACAAGGTAAAGTGAGGATTTTAAAATCTTATAATTGCAAAATAAATCACTGTACTGCCATTTTGATTTCACTGCAAGTATATGCAGGAAGCCTGCTTTTAAAGCAGTTTTAGATGTGTTACAAATAATTCCGAAAAACATAATTGCAAGTGCAAAATGTACTTTCACTTGTAAATTAGTTAACAACTCAAAATTTAAATAAATCTTCAGAGAAAAACAGAAGCCTGGGAAACATGAAAGTGATAACGATCACCTTTAAGATACTGGAACAGCTTAATAGATGCCTCTCACCTAAGTTTAGGCACCTTTAAGTTAGTTTTTGGTTTAACTAGCTGTCTAGAATCCCCCTATAGACAGTAGACAAATACAGGAATCTCCAGACGCAGTTATAACGGGTTGACCTAAGTCTTCCCTGAAAGTGATGTTTTCTAAGATTTTAGATATTCAAAGTTCACGAGATACATTTATTATAGATATTTTAAATGATGGACTAAAATGAAAACGTTGAGTTGGATTATTAGATGACTGCATTATTATAATCAAAAGCAGTGATGCGGCTTTGGTAAATGATTACAACAACCCTGGACTACATAACAAAACCTGTATTTATGCTTTATGTATTTTTTTCCAAGAGAAAATAAACAAGTATTTCTGAAAAACTTCACAGATCCAATCTGAGATGTGACTGCTGGCCCTGTTAGAAAAATGACCACATGTACTGTTAGAAGTTACACAGAAACAAAGCTGCCCTCCTGATAGTGCTCCAAAGAGAAGAAATGTACTTGAAAGAGTAATAGGAAAGATGTCTGTGACAGATAACAATTAATGCTTCACTAATCCTGGGTAAAAAATACAAAATGAAATCAAACTATTCTAGTGGATGATTAATAAGGATCCCCTAGCAATAATTGGGGGTTGGAACTACATGATCCTTGAGGTCCCTTCCAACCCGGGTGATTCTGTGATTCTGTAATTTAAAAAAAAAAATAAAAAAAATCAGTAGTTGCAAAGAAATTGATTCTCCTGACTCAGTTTTGTTGACAAAAAATCCTTTTATATATATAAAATCCTTTTATATATATTTAAATATTTAAAAAAACATTTTCAGAGGTTCCAATAGATAGAAGGATAAATGAGACAGATTATAGATCACAGAATGGTTTGGATCAGAAAGAACCTTAGAGAATACCTGGTTCTAACCACTTTGCTGCGGGCAGTGTCGCCCAGGTTTGAAGGATCCTGATGATCAGAAGACATACCTGAATACTGAATGAAAACAAGTGCCATCTTCCAAGGAGGCCAGAAAAGAGAAAACTACAGGCTAGACTGATCCTCCTCAATTACTCAAATTAATCCTGGAAACTATTTGTGAACATGTTAATGTCAAGAAGATGATCCAGAGTAGTCAGCACGAGGGAAATCATGCTTAAGCAATGATAACCTCTGTGATGAAATGACTAACTTAGTGGATGAAGGGAGAGCAGCAGATGTTGTTTACCTTGATGTTAGCACAGCTTTCAAAACAGCCTCTCGTAAAAGCCTCATAGACACACAGATGAAGTACAAGCTAGATAAGCAGATAGTGAGGTGGACAGAAAACTGGTTGAAGTGTCAGGCTTAAAGGGCTGTGACAGGCAGCACAAAGTCCAGCTGGAGGCCAGGCACGAGTAGAGTGCCCCAGTGGCCAGTACTGCTCAACACCTCTGTTAGTGACCTAGATAACAGGACAGAGAACAATCTCAGCAAGACAGTAGGCAATACAGAACTGAGAGGGGTGGCTGATGCAGAAGATGGCTGCACTGCCACATAGAGGAACCTCAACTGACTGGAGAAATGGGCCACAAAGAATAGAAAAGAATAAACAAACTTCCTGCATGCATGTGCTAGGGTACTTTGGGAACTGACAGACTGAAAAACAGCTTTGGAGAACAGGACCTGAGGATTCTGGTGAAAAAACAAGTTGAAAATGAGCCAGCAGAAAGCCTTTGCGCCTAGGAAAGCCAGCAGCAAATTGGAGTCCATCAGGAAAAACATTGCCAGCAGGTAAAGACAGGTGAGCCTTCCCTCTGCTCAGCACTAGTAAGATTCATGGATTGCTGGGTTCAGTTCTGGGCTTCCAGTAGAAGGGAGACATGGACATATTGGAGAGAGTCCAGTCAAAGCATCACTAACATAATCCAGGGCCTGAACTATATGTCATATGAACAGAGGCTGACAGAGCTATTTGTCCTTGAGAAGAAAAGGCTCAGCAGAGGACATCATCCATACAAATGCCTGCTCAGTGGCAAGGTGTAAAGAAGATGGAGCCAGATTCTCCTCACTGGTATCATGCAATGGCAGAAAAAAGCAGTGGGAAGACGAATACAGGAAATGCCACTTAAAGTGTGCTCATACACCAGTACAGGCTGTGCTACCTCCAGCCCTGGAGACATTCCAACCACAACCTGAGAAATCTACTTTAGTGGACCTTGCACAGAATGTGGGGGGTTGGACTAGATGATGTCTAGAAGTTCAATCCAAAGTCAATGATGCTGTGATTCTATGATTTTGTTTTTATAACATCAGTGTTATTGACTAATCTATGTAAAGTAGCGCTGAACAGTAGAGAGTCTCCTCTTCACATGATTTCCTGCTGAGCTAGAATTGAGGCCTTCAATTAAACGAGACAGTGGAAAAACATTTGCCTAGGGATCAAAACAGAGTCCTTTTTTTTAAGCATATAGAGTACATTTATATTTTAATGCTAAAACACACCAAATTTTAAAGAAAAAAAATACTTCGCAGAAATTATCAGTTTTGACGCTGCATCTTAAAATGCAACTGAGAAGGTAGATATTTTCTTGATTATGAAAAATGTATATAAAAGTATATCAAATTTATATAAAACTATATAAAACTACAGTATAATTCATGGGAACTACTTAACTGAATACATGGAAACTTCCTTTTTTTTTTTTTTTAAATGATTTTGATCAAAAATAGAAAGCTGAAAAGGCACAGCCTTACAACAGCACACTTTTCATCCAGAGTTGAATTCCCCAAAACCAAAAAAACAAGCAGCAGAAGCAGGGAACATAAAAGTGGCAAGAAATAAAAACTTAAAAATAATTTGTCACTATAGACACTAGATTAAAACTGTACATGCTATTCCTGATTTCTTTCCTGCTAACTCTTTCATCTGCTCTCATTGCTACTATAATCTATCCTGACTACTAATCCTGAGCCATTCCTTACGCTTTTGGTATAGCACAGGTTAGAAATCTGTTTTCATGGTCCTGAGAATGCCTCTATTAATTATGGACATTTGATTCTGATTAATTTTCGCACTCATCTAAGGTCTTAATTAAAAATAAGAACAGAGACCAAACTTACTCAGTGAGGTAAAATTATCTATTCATAAATT